GTGCTGGGGTGGGGTCGTGCTGGGGTGGGGTCGTGCTGGGGTGTGGTCGTGCTGGGGTGGTCCGCACCCTGTGATTTATCGATCGGGTCGTGCTGGGGTGTGGTCGTGCTGGTGCTGGGGTGTGGTCGTGCTGGGGTGTGGTCGTGCTGGGGTGTGGTCGTGCTGGGGTGTGGTCGTGCTGGGGTGTGGTCGTGCTGGGGCGTGGTCGTGCTGGGCGTGGTCGTCCTGGGGTGTGGTCATGCTGGGGGTGTGGTCGTGCTGAGGTGTCCCGCACCCTGTGATTTGTCGATCGGGATTTCAAAAACAAGCGTTTCGCCTGAGACATCCTCAATTTTTAATCCGCCGGCCTCCTTCGACCTCGATATTTATCAGGGAAAGGATCCGCCGGCCTCCTTCAAGTTGGGCACCGGGGACATGTTTACATACTAAAAGAGAACCCTGGGCCTTCGCCCTTTCCGGGAAAAAATAACCTTCCCAGAGATTGCCTGAAGCAATCCCCAGCCGTTCCCAAAGCGCTTCCAGTGAACAACTGGAGGAAAATGCCAAGAAGGCAACGAAGCGTTCAACAACAACTTTAACATCTCAATCTGTTTTGCTCATCGCCAGCCGCCCTGGCATGACGCTCCCGAATGTCATTAAGACGGCGCCCGAACCTCCCAACATGGCTCTGATGTATCCCATTCTGATAGAGAGGGGGCCGGCGGCAGGGGGCAAAACCCTCACGGATAAACTGTTCGTACTCATGTTGTTCTTACTAATCGTGTAAATTTCTTCTTCATGATGATTTCCATCTCCCCCCTTCGCCAACTTCGCGTTCTACGTACCCCGTCTCTTGGTTCCGGCCTTCTCTTTTGCTGCCCACCTCTAGTCTCCGTCCTCCTTCTCCTCCGTCTTCTCCTCATCCCTCCTCACTCCCATCCTTGCCCTGCTCAACCACTCGACAGCCGAGAGCCCCAGGGCAAAGGGAAGGCGTGAGAAGGAAGGCCATAGGCCTTGGGGGCTGGAGTAAGGTCGCCAGCCGAGGAACAAAAAACGTAGACAAAGCAGGTACTTGACGCAACGCTAAAAAAGGCGTCAAGCAAAGCAAGGGCAAGGGGCAACCCCGTTGTGCCAGCCCTACCCCGGGGATACTCGGTGACAAAGAAAGGCGCATGCCGTCACAAACACAACCAGGCCCCATCATCGCCAGCCGACGAGGGGTCGAATGCGGCACTGCGGACAAAGTCGTGCAAAACCAACACCTGAATCTCTCCAGGGCCTATCCTGGCCAGTGCTTCAGATTGCGCCCAGCCATGGCGACGAGGAACTCCAGAAACGCCCAGAAAACTCCGGGATGACGACGTCGACGCCGACGCCGACGCCGACGCCGCTGGCGACGACGACGACGCCGAGCCGCAGCCGACGACGACGACGAAACCCACAGCCGCTCAAGACCAATCGAAAGAACCCCTCCGAGGGTTCAGACTGGCCGGCTTTTCGCGCTGCGCCTGGCCGTGGCGACGAGGAGCTCCGGCTCCCTTCCTTGCCTCCTACACAATGAAATTGCACAGCGGGCCAGGACCCTCCCAGGTCCCCTCCTCCAGACCCCTCCTCCCAGGACGAAAATTATGGGAGGAGCTTCAGTCCCCTCCCAGGGTCTCTCCTCCACTACTAAGCACTTAAAGCATCTGAATACTACTCTCCCTCCTCCCCTGAAGTTGTCTATAAGATCTCTCGGCCCCTCCGCGTGCTGTTGTATACACACGAGAATTCACAAGCTTGTGTTTCTCATGGTTTTTGCCACGGAGGCCATCCGGCGCTTGAATCCCTCGATCTCTGCTGCATTGCGCGCAAGGGCCGCACTGGCCACCCAGTCCGCCGGGTGAACAGGTTCATCGGCACCTCAAGCCCGACCCGCCACGGCACCACAGCAAGCAGGCCCAGAAATCATGCTCGGCGCTCGGAAGTGCGCCCGCGTCGTACCGCGAACAGGGCCACTCTGGCTCTGTGGCCTTCGCCAGTCTCAGGTCTGACCAGTAGTCCCCTGTCAGAATGCAGGCGTAGTCAGCAGCAGCCGCAGCAGCGAGGAGGAGGAGGAGGAGGAGGAGGAGGAATGTCAGAAGTTGAGGAGGAGGTTGAGGAGAGCGAGGAGAGTAAGGAGGAGTAAAAAAGAAAGGGCGGAAACAGACTGTCAGCAGAAGAGGCAAGGAGGCGAAGGAAGAGGAAGAGTTTAATTTTCGCTCTGGGCACTAACATGTCGCCTTTGCCGTAACGGAGGGGGAGGAGGTCCTCAGGATCTTCTGCGTTTTATTATTATCATTTCCATTCCTCCGCTTTCCACTGGTCCTCCTGTTCCTCCCGCTCCTTCCACTCCAGTTCCTGCTGCTGCTGCTGTTCGTCTCGCTACAACGCGGGCCACTTTTCTGTATCCGAGTCTTTTTTACCTCTGTCGCCCCCCTCATTTGCCCTCCTCCGCCTGCCCCTGGTCGTCCATTTCATCCCGATCCTTTCGCTTTAGTTTCTGCTGCTGCCGTTCATCCTCATCGTTTTCCTCCCATCAGCATCACCATCATCATCATCATCATCATCATCATCATCATCATCATCATCATCATCATCATCATCATCATCATCATCATCATCATCATCATCATCATCAGCATCAGCATCAGCATCATCATCATCATCATCATCATCATCACCAGCAGCATCATCAACAGCATCATCATCGTCATCGTCACCTTCATCAGCATCATCATCCTCATCAGCATCAGCACCATACTCAACATCATCATGATCATCATCATCCTCATCAACATTATCGTCATCGTCATCATCATCATCATCATCTTCATCATAAGCATCATCATCATCATCATCATCATCATCATCATCATCATCATCATCACCATCATCGGCAACATCAGCATCGCCATCATCGTCGTCGACAACACCATCATCACCACCACCATGATGATGATCATGATCAGTATCATCATGATCATGATCAGCATCAGCAGCATCATCACCATCCTCACCAGCACCAGAAATCTCATCATCCGTATGAACTGATTCGCCTTCAGCATCGTCAGCACCACCATCATCATCACCACCACCGTCATCGTCATCGTCATCGTCATCGTCATGGCCATCGCCATCATCATCATCATCATCATCATCATCATCACCATCATCATCATCATCATCATCATCATCATCATCATCATCATCATCATCATCACCAACACCAATGGCACCATCATCAGCACCATCGCAATCATTACCATTGCCACCATCATCGTCATCATCAGCAGCAGCATGATCATCATCAGCATCAACATCACAATCGCAAACATCAACATCCTCGTCAGCATCCGAGTAGTGTTCCTCTTCACCTTCCCCATCCGCATCCGCATCCTCATCATCCTCGTCCGCCTCATCATCATGATCACCATGCTCATCATGATCAGCATGATCATCAGTATCACAATTATCGTCACCACCGCCATCCTCCTCCTCATCCTCCTCTTCCCCCCAAGATTGAAGACACGAAGTGTCACACGTGATGGCCTCCCGCACCCCCTCGACCACTCGCCACCCAGAACGCTCGGCTGGCACGACGGCGACTTGCCGCACGCAACTGGTTTGGTGTATGCTTTTGTTACGCACATGTATGGGGCTGATCTTCCTCATTTCCCCACTGTGTCGTTTCTCCCTACTCGTCCTCCTTCTCGTCCTCCTCTTCCTCCTCTCCCTCTTCCTCGCAATCCTCCTCTGCACCCTCCTCCTCCTCCTCCTCCTCCTCCTCCTCTTCCCGCTCCTGTGACGGTGGCCCCAGGTGGAACCACCGCAATCCACGATCCACCACGATACACGCCAGACGAAGCAAGACCAGGGATCCACTCTGATCAATCATACTCTGCTACTCCAAGATCTCCCAGCTGATGCCTCCCTTCTCGCCCAGAACCTCATGGTTCGGGGGTGAAGCGGGGGGACCATGGGGCTGGACCGAGGGATGAGCTGCTTCGAGGTGGGCCCTTGCCTTGCCTCTCTTGGGATCATTGAGGGCCCGCGCCCGGCTAACGCAAGGACCTGCCTCCTCGCAGCGGCCGCCAGGTGGGCCAACACACGTCCTGTGTGTTAGGCAACGAGCTTGGCGGCCCACCACAGGAGCGGCCTTTGCTCGGGACTAGCCGGGTGGCCTCGAGCCCCTATCTTAGCACACTTGTCGGCCAACTTGTTAGACCTGAAGTGGCGCCATGTCACTCCTCGCGCCTGGGCATGGAGCCAGGAAGTGTGAGATGGAATCCAAAGCATTTCAATGTTCTCGCGGCCGATGTCGGGGATCGTATTCCAAACTCGGACCCGAATCCCGGACTAAGGGCGAGTGGCGTTGCAGGCCGCCTCGGGTCCCGAAACAATACCATCGTCCACGGCTTTACAATCAGTCACAATCACCAGAGCTCGAGGAGAGTGTTGCTGCTGCTGCTGCTGCTGCTCCTCCTCCTCCTCCTCCTCCTCATCCTCATCCTTCTCCGTTGTCATCCTCATTTTCTCGCCATCCCTCCTCTCCCTCCTCCTCCTCCTCCCCCTCCTCCTCCTCCTCCTACTCCTCGTCATCCTCCTTCAGTCTCCTCCCCATCTTCCTCGCCATCCCTCCTCCCCCTCCTCCCCTCCTCCTCCTCCTCCTCCTCCTCCTCTCCTCCTCCTCTCCTCCTTGTCCTCCTCCTTGTCCTCCTCCTTGTCCTCCTCCTCCTCCTCCTCCTCCTCCTCCTCCTCCTCCTGGCCTCCTCCTCCTCCATTCTCCTCCTTCCTCCTCCTGCCTCCTCCTCCTCCTCCTCCTCATTCTCCCCCTCCTCCTCCACCTCCTCCTCCTCCTCCTGCTCCTCCTCCTCCTGCTCCTCCTCCTCCTGCTCCTCCTCCTCCTTCTTCTCCCTCCGTCCCCTCCTCCGCCTCCTCCTCCTCCTCGGCTTCCTCGCGTCTCTCCTCCCCTCTGCGCAAGGCCCTCCCGAGCAATCGTCCTCGTCGCCCGCAGCCTCACCCTCCGCAACGGACTCGTCTTTCGATACTCCGTCTTCGATGGCTGCCTGCGCGGGAGGGAGGGCGCGGAGGCAGGAGGCAGAGGGATGGAGAGAAAATGTGGCACATCCTCGTGGAGAAAACATGGGGAGGGCGGGGGGTGAACGAGGATAGAAGGAGGAAAGGAAGGGAAGGCGGGAGACGAGAGAAATGGATGAGGGCGAGGGGATGCAAGGGGAGGAAGTAACAACTGCCCGCGCATTGCGACGTGACGCGCAATGCCCGCGTGCCGTGCCCAACTGCTGCAATGCGAGGGGTAAGCGCCTCCCGCGTGCCGTGCCGTGCCCGCGCAGCGTGTCGTGCCCAAATTCTGGAGTATGAAGAGGGGTATCTGGATCAAGCAAGAGGCTCAGTCAGTAGCCCACTCAGAGAGGAACATCGACAACGCCACATCAAAACCCAAATGCACCAACATCGGCCAAAAAATCAACACGCTCGCCCGATGCTGTAAAACGAACACCGTGCAACCCGCGTGCCGCGCCGTGCCGTGCAACGAACCGTGCAATGCCCGACTGCTGACATGAAGAACAATTACCGTCCGCGTGCAATGCCGTGTCGTGGTCGTGTGCCGTGCCTTGCCTAAATTCTGGACTGCGGCAAACTGCCGCCCGCGTGACGTGCCGCGATGTGCCCGCGCGCCCGCTTGCCGTGCCGTGCCTAGTTTCTGGAATGCGGTGACATTGCCGACCGCATGCCGTGCTGTACCGCGACCTGTTCATGTGCACTGCCAAGTTTCTGGAATGCTATAAGTGCCGCTCGCATGCCGTCCGTGCCATGCCATGGCTAATTTCTGGACAACAAAAAACTGCCGCCCGCATGCCATGCAGTTCCCTGCCCGCGTGCTGTGCCTAATTCCTGGAATGCGAGAGAACTACCGCCTACGGGCTGTGCCGTGCAGAATTTCTGGAATGCGGGAAATATCGCCCGCATGCCGTACCGTGCCTGGTTTTGGGAATGCGGAAAAACTGTCGCTCGCACACCGTGCCCTGCTGTACCCTGTTCGCAAACCGTGCCGAATGTCTCTGGAATGCGCACAACTTGCCGCCGCCAACGTGCCGTGACGTGCCGTGCCGTGCCCGCGTGCCGTACCTCGTTGCTGGACTGCGAAGAAGTCGGCTCCGTCCGCGTGCCGTGCGGTGTCGTGCCGTATTTCTGGAATGCAACAGAATGCCACCCGCATGCCGTGCCGTGCCTGCCGTGACGTGCCCGCGTACCGTGCCTGGAATGCGGCACAACATGCCGCCTGCGGGCTGTGCTCTTGTGCCGTGCCGTCTCTGGATTCTGGAGTGCCAAATGTTGCCAGAATGCAAAACCGTCGCAATGCCGTGCCGTGCCGTGCCTGGCAGTCAGAATGCAAAGCAAGGCATACATACACACACATACATACATACATACATACATACATACATACATACATACATACATACATACATACATACATGCATACACACACATACATACACACATACATACACACATACACACACATACATACATACATACATGCATGCATGCAGGCATACACACATACATGCATATGCATGCACATGCACACACATCCATACATACAAACATACATACGCACGTACATGCATGCATACATGCGTACATACATGCATGACTGCATGCATGAATATACATATGCATATGCATGTGGAAATGCACGCACAAATGCAATTACACGTAGATGTACGTATACATGACTGTACACATACATTATGCATGCACCCATACATACATACATACATACATACATACATACCGACAGACATACCGACAGACAGGCATACAGACAGACATACACACACCTACACATATACACACATACGTACCTACATGCACACATACATGCATACATGCATACATGCATAAATACATACATACATACATACATACATAATCACACACATACGTACATACGTACATACGCACACACATGCATATGTATGCATGGTTACATTCATACATGCATGCATGCATACATACACACACATTCATATACATATGCATATATATATATATATACACACATGCATACATACATCCAGACATACATACAGATACGCGTAAACGTATCCATGCATACATACATGCGTACACACATACCTAGCTACCTATCGACCGACCTACCCACATACATACACGCATACGTGCAACCAGACAACCAAACAAACAAACAAGCATACACGCATGTGCACATCTGCACACGAGGGCCACAGACCAACAAAAACAACGACATTGTAAATCCGCCGACCCTGTCGGCGTGTGTGGGTTGTCTTTCTGGTCCCGTCGACGGGACGCCTTTTCTGTTTATCCTTCCCCGCCAAAAATGAGAGAGTACTCTCCCGTCGTCGGGGGGAGTCCAAGGATTGAGGGAAATCGTCCCACGTCGTAATCACGTCAAAGGGAAGCCCCTTCCCGTTGTCCCTTCCCCGGCAGGGGGGGTCCCAAGGGGGGGTGGGGGGTCAGATTCGCATCCTCCGTTTGCGGCTTTTACAAAGGGGTCCTCTGTAGATGCGCTGGAGGAGGGAGGGTCGCCACGACGGATCCGCAAGAGCGTCCCTAGATGACCCACGCCCCACAAGACAGCCCAAGAACGCCGAAGGACGGCCGAAGGAGGCCCCCAGTCGGCCACAGGACGTCGCCCAGATACGTTTCCCCCTTGAGCGCCCCCGAAACCATGAGAAAGTGTTTCTCCAAAAGACTCCAGAATGCCACAACGCCGACGTTGTCGTTCTTTGTTGTTTTGATTTTGCTCGTCTCCTCATGAGGACGAGAGGAGCGATCGATGGCATCAAGGGTTAGCCTGACACCGCTACCAGCCTGAGCCTCTGGAGGAGGCTGGATGGGGAATGCAGTGGGGAGGCGGAAGAGGAGGCAGGCACGAGCTGGAAGAGGCGGAACAGGAGGAGGGACGAGGCAGGATGAGGGGGGATGGCAGAGGAGGAGGAGGAGGAGGAGGAGGAGGAGGAGGAGGAGGGCAGGGTAGAGTAGTGAGGAGGGAAAGAAGCCCCATAAGCTCCCAGACTCTAAGGGCCTGCCTGCGCCGGAAAAGAGGAAAAAGAGGAGCAGGAGGAGAAACAGCAGGAGGAAGAGGGGGAGGAGGAGGGGGAGGAGGGGGAGGAGGAGGAGAAGGTAAAGGAGGACGAGGAGGAGGAGGGGAAGAAGGATGGAGGGGAGGAAGAAAGAAGACGATTCAGAGGAATACTGTTTGGACGTAGGTTTGCGTCCAACCCTAATTCTGTGGAGCAGAAACACAGCGCGACAGAAGCAACGCAAACTGCCAGCTGGTAAAACGCAAAACAAACGGAGTATTCGCGAAGCCCCCCTCGGAGGGGGATCGGTACCTGTAGCGAGGATGGACCAGGAGGAGGAGGAGGAGGAGGAGGAGGAGGAGGAGGAGGAGGAGGAGGAGGAGCACCAGGAGGAGCCAACAGGAAGACGAGCAGGAGGGAGCCGCCCAGAAGCGCCTGCGCGGCCTGCTGCGGGCTCGGCGAGGGCGCCTTTTCCGGCGGCGCGGGCGGCTGGTCCACGGCCAGGAAATACGGGGTCTCCTGGCGCCGCAACGGCGGATTGCGAGGAGGAAGGAGGAAAATGGAAGGGAAAATGATGGACCCACGAACCCGGAAAGGGATATAGACATGTGGAGCATGGACACGTTTTCACGATACCCAACTGGGCAACACCTCACGAAACATCCCACGAGACACTTCACGAAACATCCCACGAGACACCTCACGAAACATTCCACGAGACACCTCACGAAACATTCCACGAGACACCCCGCGAAACATTCCACGAGACACCCCACGAAACATTCCACGACGACAGGCAACCACTCAACCAAGGCGGTGTGGTCGTGCTGGGGAGTGGTCGTGCTGGGGTGTGGTCGTGCTGGGGGGTGGTCGTGCTGGTCGTGCTGGGGGGGTGGTCGTGCTGGGGGGTGGTCGTGCTGGGGGTGTCGTGCTGGGGCGTGGTCGTGCTGGGGCGTGGTCGTGCTGGGGTGTGGTCGTGCTGTGGTGAGGTCGTGCTGGGGTGTGGTCGTGCTGGGGTGTGGTCTTGCTGGGGTGGGGTCGTGCTGGGGTGTGGTCGTGCTGGGGTGTGGTCGTGCTGGGGTGGGTCGTGCTGGGGCGTGGTCGTGCTGGGGCGTGGTCGTGCTGGGGGGTGGTCGTGCTGGGGGTGTGGTCGTGCTGGGGGGTGGTCGCACCCTGTGATTTACGATCGGGTACGGGCGGGGTGTGGTCGTGCTGGTGCTGGTGTGTGGTCGGCTGGGGCCGTGCGTCGTGCTGGGTTTGGTCGTGCTGTGGTGTGGTCGTGCTGGGGTGTGTCGGCTGGGCGCGTGGTTCGGCTCGGGCGTGGTCGTGCTGGGTGTGGCATGCTGGCGGTTCTGTGTGTTCGTGCTGATGGTGTCCCGACCTGTGATTATCGATCGGGATTCAAAAAACCAGCGTTTCGCCTGAGACATCCTCAAATTTTAATCCGACGGCCTCCTTCGACCTCGATATTTATCAGGGAAAGAATCCGCCGGCCTCCTTCAAGTTGGGCACGGGGGGACATTGTCTACATACTAAAAGAGAACCTGGGCAAAGCCCTTTCGGAACATGATGGACCCACGAACCCGGAAAAGATAAAGACATGTGCAGCATTGGTCACGTTTCACGATCACCCAACTGGGAGACATCTCACGAAAACATCCAACGAGGGACACCCCGCGAAAACATCCCACGAGACACCTCACGAAACATTCCACGAGACATCCTCACGAAAAACATTCACACGAGACACCCCGTGAAACATTCCACGAGGACACCCCCGACAGGGCAACCACTCAACCAGACACGCCACGAAAACAGTCCACGGGGGGTGCGACTGGGTGTGTCGTGCTGGTGTGGTCGTGCTGGGGTGTGGTCGTGCTGGGGAGTGGTCGTGGGGGTATGTGGTCGTGCTGGGGGGTGGTCGTGCTGGGCGGGTGGTCGTGCTGGGGGGGTTGGTCGTGATGGGGGTGGGTCGTGCTGGGGCGTGGTCGTGCTGGGGCGTGGTCGTGCTGGGGCGTGGTCGTGCTGGGGTGTGGTCGTGCTGTGGTGAGGTCGTGCTGGGGTGTGGTCGTGCTGGGGTGTGGTCTTGCTGGGGTAGGGTCGTGATGGGGTCGGGTCGTGCTGGGGTGTGGTCGTGCTGGGGTATGGTCGTGCTGGGGTGGGGTCGTGCTGGGGTGGGGTCGTGCTGGGGTCTGGTCGTGCTGGGTGTGGTCGTGCTGGGGTGTGTCGCGCTGGGGTATGGTCGTGCTAGGGTGGGGTCGTGCATTTCGCTCGAGACATCCTGCCAAAATTCCAGGAAATCGTACAAAAACATGATGGACCCACGAACCCGGAAAGGGATAAAGACATGTGCAGCATGGTCACGTTTTCACGATACCCAACTGGGCGACATCTCACGAAACATCCCACGAGACACCCCGCGAAACATCCCACGAGACACCTCACGAAACATTCCACGAGACACCTCACGAAACATTCCACGAGACACCCCGTGAAACATTCCACGAGACACCCCACGAACAGGCAACCACTCAAACAGACACGCCACGAAACATTCCACGGGGGTGCGACTGGGTGTGGTCGTGCTGGGGTGTGGTCGTGCTGGGGTGTGGTCGTGCTGGGGAGTGGTCGTGCTGGGGTGTGGTCGTGCTGGGGCGTGGTCGTGCTGGGGGGTGGTCGTGCTGGCGGAGGGTGTCCGTGCTGGGGGGGTGGTTCGTTGATGGGGGGTGTCTGCTGGGTCGTGGTCGTGATGGGGGCGTGTCGTCGCTGGGGCGGGTCTGCTGGGGGGTGTGCGTCGTGTGTGGTGAGGTAGTGATGGGGTTAGTGGTCGTGCGGGGGTGTGGTCTTGCTGGGGGGTGGTCGTGCTGGGGTGGGGTCGTGCTGGGGTGGGGTCGTGCTGGGGTGGGTTCGTGCTGGGGTGCTCCGCACCCTGTGATTTATCGATCGGGTCGTGCTGGGGTCTGGTCGTGCTGGGGTGTGGTCGTGCTGGGGTATGGTCGTGCTAGGGTGGGGTCGTGCATTTCGCTCGAGACATCCTGCCAAAATTCAGGAAATCGTACAAAAACAAACGGAATTAGTCGAGACATCATCGAAATTCCTTCGCGCGGGGCGCTTTTCCGCGTCGCGGTCGGCTCTGCAAAACAAGCGTTTCGCTCGAGACATCCTCGGCAAACTCTGCGGAGCAAGCGTTTCGCTCGAGACATCCTCAACACACGAAAAAGTGGCCCGCACCCTGTGATTTATCGATCGGGATTTCAAAAACAAGCGTTTCGCTCGAGACATCCTCAAATTTTAATTCGCCGGCCTCCTTCGACCTCGTTATTTATCAGGGAAAAAATTCGCCGGCCTCCCTCAAGTTGGCACCGGGGGACAGGTTTACCTACTACAAAGAGAACCCTGGGCCCACGCCCTTTCCGGGAACAAAGGAATTAGTCGAGACATCATCGAAATTCCTTCGCGCGGGGCGCTTTTCCGCGTCGCGGTCGGCTCTGCAAAACAAGCGTTTCGCTCGAGACATCCTCGGCAAACTCTGCGGAGCAAGCGTTTCGCTCGAGACATCCTCAACACACGAAAAAGTGGCCCGCACCCTGTGATTTATCGATCGGGATTTCAAAAACAAGCGTTTCGCTCGAGACATCCTCAAATTTTAATTCGCCGGCCTCCTTCGACCTCGTTATTTATCAGGGAAAAAATTCGCCGGCCTCCCTCAAGTTGGCACCGGGGGACAGGTTTACCTACTAAAAGAGAACCCTGGGCCCATGCCCTTTCCGGGAAAATTGAGGGGGAGGGAAAAGGAAGGAGGAAAACGAAGGAATAAGTATAAAAGAAAAAACAGCAAACCGAATATGATACGGAGTATTGTAACACATACGTAATACATACACAAATTACAGATCTACATAGAAATTCCCCGAACAATGTTTGCACTGCGCTCTGGTGCAGGGTCCGCCACCTTGTTTTGTTGTCGCCGTCACCGATCCACTGCCGCTTCGTCGCCGACCGTCGTGTGGGCTCCGGTGCCAGGGCCACCGCCTTGTTATCGCCGTCCGCCCCGTCGCCGCTTCGTTGCGGCCCGTTGTCTGGGCTCTGGCGCCGGGTCCGCAGCCTTGTTGTCGCGGTTGCCGCCCCGTCTCCGCCTCGTTGCGGCCCGTTGTCTGGGCCCTGGTGCTAGGTACGCCGCCTTGCTGTCGCCGTCGCCGCCCCGTTGCCGCTTCGTCGCCACCGGCCGATTGACCCCCCCCTTGCAATCGCATTGCGTTGCATTGCTTGAATGTTTTGCGTTACTTCGCATTGCGTCGCAGTGAATTGCGTTGCGAAAGGATTACAATCGCATTGCAGTCCCGGGCGCATGCTGGAAATTCTCAGCAATCTTAGGTTCGTGGGGATTTCGAAATCGAGCACCCCGAAAACATCTAAAATCATGTTTTGCCGCACGGTGTTTCAAAGAAGTCGGCGCGCGCGCCTTTTCGAGTTATTACATTGTACGTCCATATACGATTGTGTATATGTATGTATGTATGCGTTCACGTCTGTATGTTTAAGAGATCCTTCCAAAACCTTCATCGCCGATCCATAGATATCATCATCGTCGTCGGCGCGATTAGAGTCGGAACCGTCATTGGTCTCGCCGTCGCCATCGTCACCGTCGCCCCACAACATCGCCATCATCATCGTCGCGTATGCCTTTGTCAACGTCGCCATGATGCCGCTCCCTACCGAATCGCCGAATCGTGCGGAAGCGCCCGCGCGCCAGCGCGGCCTGCGAGACGCGCTGGGACGCGCCCAGCGGTCAACGCCACCGCGGCCGCGTCGGTCGAACAAGACTGGCCGGCCGCTCTGCGCGCGAACCTACGGGCGCTTGCGCGGCCGCAGCGACGTGCCAGCCACCGCTAAGCACTCATCGCAATCGCCGCCGCATGGGGTTTTGCAAACCAAGTTGCGGGTGGGCGGGTGGGATGATTGCGCGAGCAGTGGAGTTATCAACCTCAAGTTCGGCAGGGTAGAATTGACCATTTGGCTGCACCCAATTGCGTGAGATGTCGAACCGACGAGTTCGTCGATGCACTTATGTGGCAGTCGGCTGAAGCTCATTAGCGCCGACGCTGCCGAAGAACGCTCCTCCTCCTCGCCCAGTTGGCCCCGCCGTTCGGCCAGACTGCGCATCAGGAAAATCATCGGTGGCACTGGGTTGCCATTGATGAGACCTGCCTGGATCAGGACAGCTGGCGGCCATTCGTCCACGCGCTCGCGCGCCATGCCAGCATGGCGCAACGAGACGCAGGCCGCCCGGCGAAAACTCGTCGAGGTCTAAATTCGCCACTGGCTAAATCATCACCTCGCGCGCCCACGAGCGAAGGGCACTCAAGCTTGCTGCTCGGGCCCCCAGGTGCGTAGGCGTCGCGCGATGCCGCTGCCTCTGCCTGCGCCCACGCAGGTGATGCAGCTGGCGATGGCAATCGCGCCCTCTCCGATGGTCTTCCCTGTGGAGCGCAGCTCCCTCCACGTGTCATTGAGGCGCTGGGGGCCGGGGATCCACCAGCGGCGCTGCCCGGAAAATGTGCCTCCGAGGCGCCGTGGACATTTTCCCGGATGTGTTCTTCCTCGTTTGCGCGTTGGTCGCATGCTTCCGTCACGCGGGCGCGGCGCTCTCGGTAGTCGGAACATACCGTGACAATCAACTCGTACGTCGCGTTGTCACTGCGCTGAACGCCTCCAGCCGCGCGATCGTCAAGAGGAGCACGCATCGGGACCCAGTCCTGCCAGGCTGATGGGGATGTGTGGGCGAGGCGGGAGGTCGCGCAGCAACGGGCAGGACTACGGTCCTCCCAATTCCGATTCGCCGCCCCTCGAAGCGCCGGTGACAGTCGCCAAACTAAACCCCCCATTGCATATCCCTTTTTCTCTGCCTGCTTCTCCCAGGGCCTTCGCGACAGTCACCAAGAAGCTCGGAACCCTGAACTGACACCGTAAATGTGAATGTTGTGTCAACCGCCTGCATGACATTTGCGGCTACAGCCACAGGCGGGGACATTGACGGCGCATGGTCCGCGAGCTGCACTGCCGCACTCAACGCGAGCCCGGGAGGGATCGCTGGGAGCTCCGACGCGCCGCGAGATTCGTCGTCGTCGTGGGCGGCGTGGCCTTGTAGGTATTGTTGACGTCTTTTTGGGGTAGGCGTGCGCCTTCCCCGTTGCCGGTCCTATCGGATGGGCTGGCGCACCGCCCCGACGGACCCTGGAGAGACGACGTCTCCTGCCACGGCAAACGGGAAGAAGTGCACGAAGGCGATGGAAGCGGATGTCTAGCGGGATGAACAGCTGGACGAAGAGCGGCATGATATAGAGCGGCGAAGAGTGGTAGCGGGTGCCATCGAAGAGAGAGAGGAGACATGGCGGCCGTGGTATTGGAGCCGAAGATCCGCTACAAACTAGAGAACTGGGTGTAAGAAAATACAGTGCGGGCGCGGCCGCAAGAAACCCTCGCAAGAAACCCAACCCTGAACACCCGCGCGCGAAGTGCACCAGAGGGAAACCTGGAGCACTCTGAACGCAGCAGCTCTTCAACGGCCGCGGGAAGTCGCCGCGCCTCGCGCGGAGCGAAGAAACCCAGGATACCGTTACGAAAAGCATATGGTTTCTTGGTGCGCGCCCCCACTGTAAGGACGAAAGAAATTGAACTTTCTGTAAACAAACCGCGAGATGAAGGATACCAGCAATGAGCAGCGGGCAAGTTACCTGGCCAGGCCGTAAACGGCAGCGGAACGTTGAAGCAAGGGTGGGATGAACAGGGCAAGGCGGGAGGGCCAGGGCAGACAAGGTATCACTCGAATAGAAGGAGGAGGAAGAGGAGGAGGAGGAGAAGGAGAACGACGAGGCCCTAGAACAGGAGGGGGAAACGGAGGAAGAGGCTCCAGAGCAGAAGGGTGAGGCTCCAGAACAGGAAGAAGGGAATGACGAGACCGAGGAGGCAGCAGGAGGGAACACGGAGGAGGAGGAGGAGGAGGACGATAAGGAGGAGGAGGAGGCGGAGGAGGAGGAGGGGGAGAGGAGGAAGCGGCGGCGAGAGGCCTGCCCCCCCCCCCCCCCCCCCGTCCCCCCCCAAAAGCCGAAAGAGAATAAGAGGAGGAGGAGGAGGAGGAAGAGGAGGAGCAGGAGGAAGAGGAGGCGGAGAGGAGGAGGTGGAGGAGGAGGAGGAGGATGAGGAGGGGAGGAGGTGTGAGGAGGAGGAGGAGGAGAGGAGGAGTGGGTGAGGAGGAGGAGGACGAGGAGGAAGGAGGAGGAAGCAGGAGGAGGAGGAGGAGGAGGGGAGGGGAGGAGGGAGGACCAGGAGGAGGAGAAAAGAAGGGCGGGATGAGAGGGAAATGACGATGTGGAAGAGGTGGCCAGCGTCCCGATGCGGAGGATACGACGACCTGCTACCACCAGAGGGGGGGAGAAATCGGCAGAGTCCGACATGCTCTCGTCTTTGCTCCTCCTCCTCCTCCTCCCTTCTTCCTTCTCCACCCTCCTCCTCCCCTCATCCTCCCCTCCCTGATTGCTCCTCCTCGTCCTCCTCCTCCCTACTTCCTCCCACCTCTCTCCCTCCTCCTCTTCCTGACTTACTCCGCTTCAGCAGCATAATCATCTCTCCCTCCCTCTACCCCTCCTCCCCTCTTCTCCTTTTCCCCTCTTTTCCCCTCCTTTACTAGCCTCTCCTCCTCCGCCTCCGCTTTTCTCCTATGTTCTCCTCCTCTCATCCTCCCCTCCTCTTCCTCTGTCCTCCTGCCTTCCTCCTCCTCCTCCTCCTCTTCCTGCGCCCCCCCCCCCCCCGCCAGAGAAATAGGGAAGAAACCGACGATAAGATATGTAGGAGCGGGGAAAAACGGATGAACATGAAGCGGAGGAGGAGGAGACGACACAACGCGGACGAGGATAACGATGAGGGAGTGATAGTGAGGAGGGGAAGAGGAGAAAGGAGAAGGAGGCCGAGGAGGGAGGAAGCGCCCAAACCCCCTCCGTCTACCCCTCTTCCTTCGCCCAGCGGGCGTGCAGAGGCTCCATGGGGGAAACGTCTGGGCTGTAGAAGGCGAGCTGCCTCGCCGCGGGGGGGGGCGGGGGGGGGGCGGTAGGGGCGAAACGCAGGGCGGGGAGGAGGGCAGAGGGAGGGGGAAGGAGAAACAAGGAAGGAAACTGGAGAGACACGAGGGAGGAAGCAGGGGGGAGCAGGAGGGAGGAAAAAGGGGGAGGGGTCATGATGATGCTGGTGATGATGATGATGATGGAGGAGGAGAAAGAAAATGCTCCATTTTTCTCAGGCCAAGTGAAATTCTCGCTGCAGCTGCACACACAAGCTCGAACTGCTGCAGCATTGAAAAGGCCTGGCCGGCCGCAACTCCTGCCACAACTGAACTGCTTAAGCGAAGTGCCGAGACAGGCACGCAGAGAGGGCGTCAGAGGGTGAGGCAGCGGGCTCGAAGAACCGCTTGAGCACAAATGATTGTGGAAGCACAAACGAATGCGGCCAGCCCGAACACTCGGCATTGCACACTGTTTCACCTTTGCTACATGCTCCGTTTTTCTCAGGCCAGGTGACATTCTCGCTGCAGCTGCATACACAATCTCGAACTGCTGCAGCATTGAAAAGGCCGGGCCGGCCGCAACTCCTGCCAGCAACCGCCAATACTTTGCGACCTGGCGGTTGAAGCGGCCCTTTCCACCACTAGCCCTTGCATTTGTCTATACACGCTGCCCAAGCGGCCACGAGAGGACGAGGATATGGCTCGGCGACTAGGGTCCACAGTTTTCCCCCGGGAGCCTTGCCTTCTAAAACTTGGTGTCTTCTCTTGGAGTATTTACAGCAGGGCCCGACGCAGCTTGCTCGCAAGGGTTCTAGCACACAGTTCTGATCGGGCTGCCAGCAAGCTATGGTCGTGGCTTTGCGCCACGGCGCTCCGAAGCGACAATACACAATACACTGTGTGAGTTACATGGGCTTTCTTTAAAAGCGAGGCGATCGCTGGCTGCTTCCACAACCACGAGGCACGAGGGTTCTCCAAGGACACAGGCACTTGAAATCTGATGCACAGTCTGACCACGCGGGCGCTAGTCTGCATGAAGCAATTTCCCTGAGCTACTTTGGCGGCATTTGCAGGCGACAAATTAGCAAGACCACCAGGCTTGTGTTTCGAGCGAAGGGGACCCTGGTGATCCCAGCTTTCCTCGCCTGACGGTCGAGAAACTACTACAAGGCGCACTGAGGTGAACCCAACTGGCGCTGGGAATTAAACTCAGCACTTGCTTAATTACACGTTGCTTAAACAGATCCTGGCTAGGCGAATCGCGGACGTCCCAGGTGGCTGAGTCCCAACCGAGACGCTGCAATGCACGTGCCAAACCCTGCTGGCCCGAAACATGATGGACCCACGAACCCGGAAAGGGATAAAGACATGTGCAGCATGGTCACGTTTTCACGATACCCAACTGGGCGACATCTCACGAAACATCCCACGAGACACCCCGCGAAACATCCCACGAGACACCTCACGAAACATTCCACGAGACACCTCACGAAACATTCCACGAGACACCCTTTGAAACATTCCACGAGACACCCTTTGAAACATTCCACGAGACACCCCACGAACAGGCAACCACTCAACCAGACACGCCACGAAACATTCCACGGGGGTGCGACTGGGTGTGGTCGTGCTGGGGTGTGGTCGTGCTGGGGTGTGGTCGTGCTGGGGAGTGGTCGTGCTGGGGTGTGGTAGTGCTGGGGGGTGGTCGTAGCTTGGGGGTGGGGTAGTGCTCGGGGGGGTAGGTCGGCTGGGGGGGGGTCGTGCTGGGGGGGGGAGTCGTGCTGGGGCGTGCGTGGGGTAGTTGCCTACCCCGCGAAACATCCACGAGACACCTCACGAAACATTCCACGAGACACCTCACGAAACATTCCACGAGACACCCCGTGAAACATTCCACGAGACACCCCACGAACAGGCAACCACTCAACCAGACACCCCACGAAACATTCCACGGGGGTGCGACTGGGTGTGGTCGTGCTGGGGTGTGGTCGTGCTGGAGTGTGGTCGTGCTGGGGTGTGGTCGTGCTGGGGCGTGGTCGTGCTGGGGCGTGGTCGTGCTGGGGCGTGGTCGTACTGGGGCGTGGTCGTGCTGGGGCGTGGTCGTTAAGGGGCGTGGATAGTGCTGGGCCGTGGTCGTGCTGGGGCGTAGGTCGTGTGGGGCGTGGTCTGCTGTGGTGAGGTCGTCGCGGGTTGTGTCGTGCTGGGGTGTGGTCTTGCTGGGGTAGGGTCGTTGCTGGTGTCGGGTCGGCTGGGGTGTGGTTCGTGATGGGTATGGCGTGCTGGGGTGGGGTCGTGATTTGGGGTGGGGTCGTGCTGGGGTCTGGTCGTGCTGGGGTGTGGTCGTGCTGGGGTATGGTCGTGCTAGGGTGGGGTCGTGCATTTCGCTCGAGACATCCTGCCAAAATTCCAGGAAATCGTACAAAAACAAACAAATTAGTCGAAACATCATCGAAATTCCTTCGCGCGGGGCGCTTTCCGCGTCGCGGTCGGCTCTGCAAAACAAGCGTTTCGCTCGAGACATCCTCGGCAAACTCTGCGGAGCAAGCGTTTCGCTCGAGACATCCTCAACACACGAAAAAGTGGCCTGCACCCTGTGATTTATCGATCGGGATTTCAAAAACAAGCGTTTCGCTCGAGACATCCTCAAATTTTAATTCGCCGGCCTCCTTCGACCTCGTTATTTATCAGGGAAAAAATTCGCCGGCCTCCTTCAAGTTGGCACCGGGGGATTAGGTTTACCAACTAAAAGAGAACCCTGGGCCGGCGCCCTTTCCGGGAAAAAGCTCAAGGAACCGGGGCTTCACCCTAGCCCTACGGTGCGAAGCAAGCTGTCGAACTCGGCGCTGTGCCCGAATCGCAGCCCCGCCTCCCGCAGCCTCGCCGCTTCGCACAGGAGCAGCTGGGGGTCTCGTGGAAGCGTGGCTAGCCTCCTCATCGCGCGGGAGCTCTTCTCGTATCGGCGCACGCTCATGTCCGAGACCCACCTGCAGCGGCGCTCGTTGGCATCCAAGCTCCGCGCCTTGGTCAGCCAGTCGTGCGACGGCCCCACATGGCGCAAGATGTATGGCGACAGATCCCACGCGCCGAGGCCCACCTCGTCCGCGGCACTCTTGAACATGGCAGTGAAAGCCGCGCCCGACCACGAAAATGAGCACCGCCTCGAACTTCAACTGGCGAGCCAGGCGCTCGAGCAGGGGGCCGAGGTACAGCCTCGCTTCGCTGTCGGGCAGGATCGAGTCGTTGAAGCCCCTGGTCTTTGTTGGCAACAGCTCCTCCTGGGGCCTCAGCACCAACGACGTGAAGCGGCAATCGCCTCCCGACCTCGGCTGGCCTGGCACGACGTGGTTCGCTCGCAGCGAGAGCAGCTCGCCCGGCCGGAGGCGCGCGTCCGCCGCCAGCACCACGGCCAGCGCCTCCCGCAGCAGCCTGCGCCTGACCAAGGCCATCGCGATGGCCGCCACCGCTGCCCATGGCACCTGCGCGCGCGTGACCGGCGGCACCAGCCTGCGCCAGCCCTGCAGCGCCCTGGCCACCCTCGGCAGCTTCAGCAGCCGCCCGGCGTGGTGAAGGCGCGGCCAGCGGTGGCCGACCGCCGCCAGCAGCTTGGCCCCGCTGTTGCAGGGCTCCTCCGCCGCGAACAGCAGGTCCATGTACTCCACCAATGCCTCCTCCAGCTCCGCGTCGGTGTCGCAAGCGAGGCCGTTGGTCCTGCAGAAGCCGTCGAACCGCGCCAGCCTCCTGCTGTAGTCCTCCTGCGTCTTGATCGTCACGCTCTCCTGCTCCAGGATGGTCTGACCACCAGTGCCAAGGGTCCGACCTCGCGCCCGCTCCCTCGCACCAGCAGCGGGCGGGGGCCGAGGGCCTCTCGGCCTCGCAGGGGATCGGCGACAGATCGTTGATGAACTGCGCCGCGGCCTTGTCAAGGTAGCCTGGGCCTGATCCGCTCTGCTCGGAACCGACGCTGGCAGCTGCCTCTCTGGAGGCGGCGCTCCGCCAGCGCTGGGCCCCCAGGCGCGCCTGCGCCAGCCAGCTCGAGAGGCGCTGCCACACGCCTCAGGCACCTCTCCGCCAGCGCCGCCTTGGAGGGCTCCCAGCGCAGCTGTAGCCGCCTTCTCTGCAGGCGTGTCAAACCATCGATTTGGCTCATCGCTGGGATTCAACTCGCCAGCAACCCACCGAACGCTAGTCCGCGGAAAGGTGGCCAGGGAAAGCACGGCCCACTTCCTGAGCAACTTGAGCACGGGGACTGAGACCGCTCGACCCCTCCAAACTCAGACCCTTTGCCCATGTTGTCACAAAGGAATATATGATGTTTATGATGATGCTTTGCTTGCCTGCACGTGCGCCTCCATCCAAATAGTACCGCCCTCAACTCTTATGTGTATAGCCTCCTTATTGTGATACTTCCTTGCCTGTATATTCCTCCAGTTGCCACCCTTGATGAACGATGCTGGTAGTTCAGGAAACTGATGATTGATGCTGATGGAATGTCACGTTCGTTGCCCATGTTCGTGGCATGCAAAACTCGATGGGGGAGAGGGGCTTCCAGGAATGACTCTTCTTTTTCTGCGACCACCTCCAGGCCCCCAAGCGGCAACGCGCCGCCCAGGGCCCGCTCTCGGGCCCGGCCGGCCGCCTCGACCTTGAAACGCCAGCGCTCACTCCAGCGCCCCACCTGCCGGACCTCCGAAGTCGGGAACTCGGCCTCCTGCACCGCGTAGCCCCTCAGGGTCGCGTCCGAGCAAGTGACCAACCCGGACCAAGGTAGATCGAATTGCACCGCGAGCAACGGCAGCACATGCATGGCATTGGACGACTCCTGGCGCACCGACTCCCAGAGCACGCTCGGCGCCCGATAATGTCTTCGCACGAAGTCGCATGCGGCCCTGAAGATGCGCAGCGCCAGACGGTTCAGCAGCATGGCGTGGGTAGAGTGGCCAATCAGCTTCTCCACCTCCCGGCCCGCCACCAGCCGCCGCCTCAGCGGGCCCCGCGTGCCCCGAAGGCGGCCGCGCAG